GCAAATAATGGATTTTGGCAAGAAGTATAAAATATATACGTTTCCACTGTTTTGCGATCTTGATTAGTTATCCAAGTCAAGGTTTTAGTGGGATAAAGATCAATACATAAAAGAACACTATATTTTAAATCATTGCCTACGTTTCGGTGTTATTTTACACCATCCTCAGGGCTCTAAAATACAAACAATGTTTTTAATAAAATTCGTTAAGGTATTAAAATAAAAAAAAACAAATACATTTACAATCATTCTAAAAAATTTGTTCCTGTCACAATTACCATAAAACCCGAAAAAGAAAAATTCTAAAACAGCTCTAAAAATAACATAGGTATTACTCACTCACCGAAATTTGAAGTGTATTTTGTCCAACTTAACAGTTCTAAATATTAAGAAGATGGTATCTAGAAACTTATATGTGTATTTATAATTCATGGAACAATTTCAATGCGGTTTTCTTTCACAGTAAAAGTTGTTGTAATTTGAGGCAACAAATTTAACATCATTACAGTTTTTCAGACAACTAATACTTTAAGAACTTTATTGTCAAAGATATGCCCAAATAATGATTTTCAAAATTCAAAAGATTGCATACCTTGTAAAAGCAATATATTGGAGATATTTCTCGACCATAGTGAATATTGGAAGAGATGAACACAAAAATTATATTAAAAAACGAGAATTTGATAAATTATGTTTGGGAAAACGATCATAATATTCAAAGGGTTCGACTAAAATTTTGGAAAAGGAAAATACGGTTAAGAAAATTAAAAGACACTGCGATTATTTTGTTGAATGGTGAAAAATGTGTTTCAAATTATTCTATGAACTTGGATCGTTGTTGGCTACAGATTCTAAAAGATGAAGTAATAATAGAATAAACTGTCAAAACTAATTAACATGAAAAGTCAAAAAAGTTCTGAAGACGAAAACAGATAGATTTTCGACACGTCAACAACTTTTTAAAATGCGCGATACAAAGTTTTTTTGTACTATATTTTGTATATTTGTCTGCTTTTTCTTCAGTGTGAGATTTCTTGGTTAGGCAAAACTATTTTTATCAAAATAACCCTTGACTTATCCTTTTAGCTTTTAGCACAAGGGTTTATTTAACTAATTTTTAAATTTTTTCACAGGTGGCAAAATACCCAAAAAAATAAAGAAAAAAATATTTTTTAGATGTGTAAAAAATATTCTAAACTCGATTACCTAAACAATATACCTATTGACATTTTTACGATAAGAAAAAAATTAGTAGGTACTTAACATTTAGATAAAATCATGTATGTAAGTATCAGAACTCAATGAAAATTGATAATTAAAATATCTGATTTCTCCAACGATTAATTAGATCTCATACATATTTTATTCAACTCAGTTATTTATTACCTGTTATTTATATATTTATATTTAGATATACATGGATAAATTAACTGTTGCAAGTTTGATTTACTTCTATTGCTTTGAAATATTAAATTTTCCTAAAATGTCGTTGTAACAGCCGAAAATCGCAAAGTGGTTTAGTAAAAATTCAATATGAATTGTATTAATTGAAAAAAAATGCGATATTTATATTATAATTCCATTCACATCAAGCAACAAGTAAAAAATTGAATAAATTTATTCGCCGTATATCAGAAAAATCAATATTTTACCTGTTGATTAGATTCCTGGCACTGTTTCAACAAAAAATAAACAAAATTTCTTCTACCAACTCCCTAACTCGGTCGTAAGGAAACGCCTGTCGAAACGTTACGGTTTACAAGGCGTTGCAAACATTTTTATTGGATATTTCAGACATTTTGGAACGTTTCCCGTCCCAGTTCACGACCTGGAATGCAAGAAAATTGGAAAAACAAGGGAAACCTGCCGGATGGACGCAAGCGCAGAAATAACGATCTTATTTAACATCGGTTGATGGGCTACCCACAATGTTGTCGCCTGTTTCGACCGCTCTATTTATCCAAGACCTATAAAAGTTCCAGCATTTCCATTCAGCATTAGTACATAATTCTAATCATTACCGAAAGTACGTTACATTTATTAATATCGAAGTTTTTAGAATACTTTAGATGTTAAATGTGTTTAACATTTTTTTTTTATTGAAAGAAAAGTAGGTACCAATAACGTACTATATTTTTTAAACTTGTCCCTACTTTTATGTCTGTAACTATACCACTGGGAAAGGTTTTATATTATCAAACAATTGACAATTTTAAAATCCTAAATAAAAAAATCTCTTAAGACATACATAATTGTATGTACATGATGTCCCACTTAACTTTCCCATTCCACTTATCTCGGTTAGTTAGACCACCCTGTAAATTATTACATTTTTAGATGTAAAATTTTATTCTGAATAATAGTATATAACATGTGTGGCACTAATAAGTGCCACACATGTCGACATTTAAATTTGAATTGGTTTTTTGTTGCCACAAACAGAAACTTCATAAAAACATAACTTTTATATCAACAAAATTTTTAAATCTGCAAAACTAGCCGAGACAATTGGGGTGGGAAAGTTAAGTGGGACACCGTGTACTAATTCTCTTAAATTCTCTACCTTCTATTCATGCCACTATTTAAAGAAACAATAATCCTGAAATTACTTACCAAATTATTGCAATAATGCCTGTTATAAATTACAAACCACTTAAATTGATGGCAGGTTATAAAACCGAGAATATTATTGGGAAGTTTTATGTGAAAATTTATTGAGTTTAGATTACTAAAAGCTTGTTTAAATTAAGTTACGGTATGAATGCCATTACAGCGTAAAAAATGGAAATATCGACAATATTCCCAACATCTTAGAAAAACAACTACTTACATAAATAAAAATAAAAAAGAACCAATCAAATAAGGGTACAATGAGACAATGTTTTTGAATCTGTTTACCCTAAAAACCTACTATTTATAAATTTTAATAGATAGATTACTATAATTTTTAATGATTTTGAAAGTTTTTGGTTTCTTGTTAAATAAATTAATTATCGATTATTCACTGACGAAAATTAACCAATAAGACAGTTTAGCTAAAACACGATTTTACTATCCAAGTCCATGCATTACTATAATAACCGAGCACCTTCTTAAAGTGAATGGGTAAATTTTTTTAGCATTTTTCCATTTAACTAAAGGTAAGTAGTAACTTACCTTTAGTTACTACCTACCTATAAACGGTTAAAAATAATTTACCTACGGGGAAGCACAAAATACATAAATATTTTTTTAGCGCGTAGTAATCATATTTAACACGTAGAAGTGAAAGCTAGATAGTAGGTACATGGTACATTGCCATTTTGTGTCCAACATTGGAACAGGGAGGGGCTTTGTCTATCTTTCATACAAATAACGTATTATATTGTCAGTAATACAGTAATATAATAATAACCAACAAAGCTTTGACTGGAAATGATTCTCTCAATGTTGTTTTGAACAATAAGTATGGACTTTGTTTACAAATTTTTTTCAGTATTTTCAGAATGTAATACGATTTTTAAATTAATTTTTAACCCAAATAGTTGAGAGGTATGCAAAGTAGTTTGAATAATGTACAAGAGGTGTCCAGAAGCGAATGGATCTTACTTGAACTTGAATAAAAATAAACCGATTTGGATCGGTTGCCTTATTCAAATTTTTCTTCCTTAAAAAGTTATGTGCCGTAAATTTTTAAGAATTTTTGGGCCAACCAAAGACGATTATACATAAACTTAACTTTTACCTCTAAAATACAGAGGTATCATCTGCGTAGACAGTGGAGGTATTCTAACGTCTTTATTCTTCACCATTCAACTAAACATATTTTTGTTAAACTTTTTTTTTACATTTTGAATCAATTTTCCTCTATTCGAATGTCAACGTCTACTGAGATAAGCCTGTAAATTGGTGCAAATGCTGTTTCGCCAGCTACATCTCAGTAGGAGTTGACTTGTCTTTCAAATAAAGGTATAGTCTTTCCTATATCAATTGAAGAACTAAGACGTTGACGGTATATACCAGGTTCGGTCGCTGACGCAGCAAATCGGCATTGGTATATTTGAATAACTTGTTCCCATATTTATTTAGCCATACCCATATACAGGTCTGGTCGAACTAAACGTGGAAGTGGCAGAAATGTACTCGTATATGCCCAGTTGAAAAATGGGCGCGCGGACAAACGAAATCTAACACAACAGCATTGGGCTACTAGGCAATAAATTTCAGCTTTTGACAAGTGGTTGACAAATTGCCCAGTGCAGTGCAGCAATGCGGAATTTGATGTCATTTAGGTGATTTTAATTTTTTATAGGCACCTTCTATTAATCATTTATATTACAATTGCAAAAGGGAGAGATAATATTATTACAATATGGCATTTTGGGGACCTTTTAAAACGGAACAAAACGAAATTTACCATCAATATAATAAAATTGTTTGAGGACATAAATAATTAAAATATGTTGTTGGCCAAATGAACATATAATAGACATTTCCTACATAATATACAAATTATTATAATTTTTTACCTGTAGCAGAAAACTTTTTTAGGGACGCCTATAAAAGTCATTAAATTTTATTGCCAAGCATTTTTTTGCATGTTCAACTGACTTCGGAAAGACTATACGTAAATTGATGTAAATCATAAAAAGTGATTAAAAGTATTAATTTAGAAAAAAGGGGCAGTTGAATTATATTAAAACACTTGAGTTTTCCGAAAATCTCTACCAATAAAAGATGACAACAAGCGATTCTGTTATTTAAGTAAAAAATACATTCATTCTCGGCAGTCCCAAAAAAATTCCCATTCGTTGTTGGACAACCTGCTTATGTTCATTTATAATATTTAACAATTTCAATTTTGCACTATGACCACAATATATATGAATATCAACGTTATTATGCTAAACAATTTATAATTATAGTATTAATATACAAATGAAAGCAAATTCACAATCGAATTCAAACTTTACCTCGCACTGAGACCTTCATCTTTTATTCGTAAGATGGCAGCACGTGGCGCTGTTACAACAATTTTCTGAAAGCCACACAAAATTCCTGCTACTGACGTTTGTGTATCAAATGAGATAATGGTGAACGATATTATTTAAATGTGATAACAAGGTTTGTGATAAAGTTAGTATCATCGAGTGAAATGAGTGGAAATAGTTTTTCACAGTGCGACGGAAACGAGTGACTCACGAAATCAAACTACAGCCTACAAAACCATGATGTGACAGCGTTATAAAAATTAAAAATCTCTTTCGTTTTATTTATAGGTAAAACATAAAAGTTTCTTATCTAACCACTGATCCTTGAATAATAAACCTAGTTTAATTATAATGAATTAACTGATACAAGTCTCGCTGTAATAAGAGAGGTTATTGATAGCTAAATTTCTTTATCAAGAGAACTGCACTAAACTTGGCCACTTGTAGATAAAAAAATATATATATTATTTTAATCTGTCAGGTGAATCCAGCTATCATAAACCGCATATTGAATGAAAAACCCACTGATTAGTCACACGATCATTTTTTCTAGCATGTCGACAGTACTATGTGGGTTTTATGGTGAGGATGATCGAAAGTGTATCGAAAAGGGCTTTTAGTGGTTCCAGTGGCACTTATAATGTTCATGCTTTAGAACTGGCTGCGGCAAGAGAACGTAAATTAAAAGGTCTCAATGTGACAGTGAGATTCTTGGACGACACTGAGCACGTTTTTCATATTGAGAAACGTGCCAAGGGTGCTGTCCTTTTAGAACAAGTTTATCAACATTTAGAATTAGTGGAGAAAGATTATTTTGGATTGCAATATTCAGATGATGGATGTTCGATTAACGGTCGATGTTCGGAGTGGATGGTAAGTGAGAAAATTTCATATATTAAAAAAAATTTCATTAACTGATAATTTACTAGTAGAACTAATCGTACTTGAAATACAAAATGTTCAAGGCTTTGTACATCTAAAGATTAATATATTGAGAATAGATTATTTTTATCAATCATCTTATATCTGCTAAAATTACTACATGTACGATGTGTGAAGAAATGGTTATTCCATTTTGTTTGTGCTTGTATCTTTGAAATGTTTCATTGCATGCTTTATTTGTGCATTACATGCATTATTAATTATGACAATTATTTTGCCATACAGTAGTGAATTATATATAATTTAATATTCTTATCTGAATGAGAAAAATTATAAGTGACCCTGTTGATGCTTAAACGTTCTAATTAAACCATCTTTGACGTTTCAACTACTTGAACTGTTTTTTATAATATACTGCAGTTTTAACAGAATCTTGAAGTTATTAAAATATAGTATTAGAAAAAATTACTTTTTTGGAATTTATTTGTTTAAAATGAATTAATCAGAAAACAGATTTGTTGATGTCATTGGCATTTCACAAAGAACTGGAGGTTTAGGAATACTTAAATACAAGATTTCTTATTTATCTATAGAAAATTATATCCTATCAAATAATGCTTTGAAATTTAATGAATGTAATTAAATTCATAGTAAACAAATTACTTTGCTAGATGAAATAGGTATGTCGCTTAAATAATATTTCCATAACATAGTGTGCATCTCTTTTTTAATATTAAAATCCTTATTTTTGTCAGAATAGTTTATACCTCGGAGCCTCGGTTTATACTTCGTGATTTTCACACATCTACTTTAAGCAGCAAATCCTAACAGTTTAAAAAGTAATCATATTTATATCGTTGCATTTAGGATATATTGTGTGATGGCACAATTACGATTATTTATTTTTTTTTTTTTGAAAAAAACTCGGCCTCGGATGAGACCATATTTGCTGGATACAGGAGTGGATACATATTTCTACTTGCATCCAGGATTTATAATTGTTGAAGTTAAATGTAATTACCTATATCTGTCTTATCTGTAGATATTCTTAAAAAAGTTACCTTCTTGGTTTAATTTAGTAAGTTGAAAATAAAACACGTTGGCAAGTCTACAAGTAGGTATCAATATGTTGAGGCTATAACTTCAAATTTTTTCATAATTTTTACCCCTCCATTGCTAATTTCAAAACAAAATAAATGAAAAGATAATATTCATATTTATTTTATCATTGCCAAACTATTTATGACAAAAATGATTATTAACAGTTTTACAGTTTAATTGGATGTTAACATATTAAATTTGCTGTCTAAACAATTTCCGTTTTTAAAATGCAAACTTATCCTTATCAATATCATATATAATGTTGAGCTTCAAGAAACTGATATCATTTTCTTAGAAGAAACTAAATATATTTGTCACATTGTATTAAATACTGATATGATTTTAAAAAAATATGTTATAAAATATTAAGTACAGTAAGCGTTATATTTTATTCAGAAAATTTGATTGATGATTTAATTCATATTGAACCAACGTTTGTTAATAATTTATTTGGCTCTTTTTAGCGTTGGTTAGATCCGTCCAAGTCAATCAAGAAGCAGCTAGGAAACTGCCAGTATCCTTTATATTTTAGAGTTAAATTTTATGTATCCGATCCAAGTAAGCTACAAGAGGAATACACCAGATATCAATTCTATTTACAATTACGGAGGGACATTCTGGAGGAAAGGCTCCATCTGCCTCCCAGCACTGCCATCCTTTTAGCTAGTTATACTGTACAATGTAAGTACTTTTAGTTTTTTTTTTACATTATAAATTCAAAGCCTATACTATTCTGCAACAAGAAGAAATGCGATGAAATTTAGGATCAATGTATTAACAACAAAGTATTTTTTAGGATTGTAGAATATTAAAATAGATAAAAGAAAGTGGTTTGATTCAAAACATTGATATATAAAAAGAAACACAGTTGAGGATACTAAAACATACATATAAAATCTAGTGTTTATCCACGTTGTATATTTGTTGTGGTACGTTTATGCATTATCAATTTTGAACAATATTATGCTATTTTGCATTTAGTTTTTATATAATGTGCACTGGTCGAACATGATAATAGGAAAACTAAACGCATTTTTAGTAAATTCAACAGTCGAATCAAAAAAGGACATTTCAAAATTTATTTAAAAATATTTGTCTACATGCCACTGGAATCTGATCGATTGTAATACCTAAACCTAGTAAATAATTTAAGGATATAATAAATAAGTAGTGTTTTATCACAGTTATTTTATTTTAGCGAATTTAGTTATTGCTTTTATTATTATTATGGTGTTGGAAGTGATTCCGTTGAATCTCGTGCAGATTTTCAAGTTCTCAGCTATGTGCTTTGTGAACATTATTTTTCCCATTTCGTGTAACCAGAGCTTCATCTATAACTTTCACATCAAGAGGAGCTGGCTAAAGTATTTTGTATTGCTTTACTGCTTTAACTGTTGAAAATATTGCCATATTTTCAACACTTGTAAGAGTGATGTAAACAATAAATCACAGTAATAAGGGCATTATGAAAACCACAGTAATAGTGAAAAATAAATATTCATTTGTCAAATAAAATTTACTGAAGATACCTGGAACCGAATATCTGGGTGTGTGCAAAATTCATAAGATACATTTTAATAATCACGTTACAGTTGTCCAGAAAGGTATAGTGCTTCAAATATAATAACTTCAAACATTTTTTCTCGAAATCTGTAACAATTTCGTAACGATTCTATTTTGAATACCTAGTGCATATATCCCCAAAGTTTTTTTAATTTAATTTTAAGTTGTGAGTCACTCTGTATAATACCTATATGGCTATTTTAACATATATAAAAAAATACAGGCTGTTTTATACAATGTGACTTTTTTTCGATGTTTACTGTAGGGCTCTGGCAAAGTAACAGAGATACAAAAAAGCTTAAATGAGGAAAGATGTGCAGTTTTATGATCCTTATAAAATGTTACTTTTATTTTTTGAAAAAACGTCATGGCTTGACTAAATATTTGGAAAGAAGCTTTTGGACTTTGTAAAAAGGACAAATCTACTTGCTGAATAGGACTAGTAGTGGGACGCACAATAGGCCTAATTAGGCCGCAGTGCTATGGGACTTTTAAAGGACCAACCACTAGATGAAGAAGAAGAAGAAGAAATATTTGGAAAAATCCGAATTTGGCCAATTCATTCAGATGTGTGTAGCTCTGTTGCTATTTATTTTACAAAAAAAATTTAAAATTGCAAAACTTCAAATGTTTGCAGTGTTAATAAGATAGTATGATCAAATTGTTCATGTACACTTTCGTTTTCAAGTTATAACATAAACTTCAAGTTTTTTTAATAGCTATGAGCTAGAAAAAATTGTCTTTTTTATGCTTTCCAACGATGTAATATTTGGTATTGTTATTTTAAAATGGGAAAACTGCAGCTGTTTTTAAATTTTCAGTTGCTCGCTGATGTAGATGGCTCTGAAAACAATCGAAATGTTTACCGACAACGCTTTTAGTTACTGTAGCATTATTTGACAGGTACTTTTCTTTTTTAAAATTTGTTTCAATTGCTAAAGACAATGAATTTTTCAAATGACGAAAAGCATAATATTATTGAGTGTTATATTCGTTCAGGAAACTTTTGACAATATTGATACGCGTTCTGTGAGAAAAGCCCGAAATTCTGTTTCAAAAAGATGTATTTTGTGCATTAATAATAACGATGGAGTTTTTGAATAATTTCTTTAATATCTTTAAAGTAAATAGTGGTTCATAAAATTCTGATATTTTTTTTGTCTTGTTAAGTATTTCATTTACTTACCACAAACGATTTTCATCATTATGATTTAAATTCTTTATTCTTTACTTATTATTATTGTTTATTTAAAATATGCCAGTCGCACACTGCTTCGGTGCCATGACACGTACAGAGGTGCGCACATGATGCCGACTTCAATTGTTCTGATTTTATTCGTTGGATTGCGTATAATTTTCACAGCCATCTACATCAACGAGCAATTGAAAGGTTAAAAACGGCTGCAGTTCTTTCATTTTTCAAAATAACAATACCGAATATTATATCGTCGGAAAGCATAAAAAAAGACATTTTTTCTAGCTCATAGCTAACTATGGTTCACATTTAAAGAACTTGAAGTTTATGTTACAACTTGAAAACGAAAGTGCACACGAACAATTTGATCAAAATCTGAAACTTTATAATTTAATTTTTTTTTTGTAAAATAAATAGCAACGGAGCTACACATCTGAAAGAATTGGCCGAAATCGAATTTTCCCTAGTATCTAGTCAGCCATGACGTTTATTTAAAAAATAAAAGTAACATTTAAAAAGGTTTCATAAAACTGCACATCTTTCCTCATTTAAGCTTTTTTGTATCTCTGCTACTTTCCCAGATCCGTACACTATACATCGAAAAAAGTCACCCTGTATATGTATAAATAAAGTTTATTTTAAATTTTAGGTGAGTCACAAATGCTATAATCCTTTTTTAAATAGAAGCTATGTTTTCTTTCAAGAGAATTTACTATAACCAAATATGACTATAGGAGAAAAACGTTCCTTCACCAAAAAATAAATAATACATATATCTATCTAGATCATGGTTAACTACTATCCTCTTATAAAAAACCAAAAGTTTGCTTTATAACTCTTCAGAATGAGGTCATTTTAACTCATTCAGTGACACACTGTAACTCGAAAACAAATGCAGACGTCAAACCTGTGTTGAAAATCAAACTGAAAATTATCATATTTTTTTATCTTTACTGGTTTCTACGTTCTCTGAAATTTCATTGAATTTCACACACTCTGTATGTATTAAAATCTACTCATTTTATACCCTTTCTATAGATATTAAATACAATTGAAATTCATTCCAAAAATAAAATGTGTATATTTCATCAAAAAAAAAAAAAAAAAAATGATAAAATCCTTAGCGACATAATCTTGACCTAATTTTAACTTGTAAATCCAATCGTGTATCAGTTTAATCAGTCCTTGCAAAAATCTAAATCTGAATTTCGACTGCATTGAAGGAGATTAAAATAAACATTTTAAACAATATAAACAAAATATAGGATATAAAGTACTATCTTCTTATATACAATCATTAGATAAGGAAGTAATTAATTTATGTCTTACTGTTTAATTTATACATACAAAACAAATAAATCACAGTATGTTGTCTGTTCCTTGCATTATTTTTTTGCAGTTAATTTATCCGTTGTTTTTTGTGTTTCCTCTGCTTAATATCTTTAATGAGTAGACGAATTTTCGTTCAATTAATGTGAATTAGAACAAAATTTAGCTTATACGTTAAATTTAAAGCCATAATAATCATTTTAAAAGTACATCAAATTCTGTCGCCTCAGTTCAAGGATTAAGAACTAATAACGCCATATTATGGCTATGATAAAAATGTTCAAATTCCTTATTTAATTTTATAATTCCGTCAAGGACTATAAATTGATAGCTGTCATTCGGTGCTATTCGTTTTTAGATTACCTTGGAAAATAATCGCCGCAATATCCCCTAAAATTTGAAAATAATTATATTTTTAGTTCTATTTAAATCCCATTATTTGTAAATATTATTTAGCAATAAATCAAATTTCACGACTTGTTTAAATATCGTTTATTGATAACATTTCTCGTTTAATGCCTATTTAATGCCAGCCATCAATTGAAATAAATAATTACTAGTAAGTACGACTCAAGGCTGCTGTATCTTTCAGCTGAATTAGGAGATTATCAGCCTGAGGAGCATGGACCAAACTACTTATCAAACATGCAATTGGTTCCGGGCCAAACGGAGGAGATCGAGAGAAAGATATCGGAACTCCATAAATTACACAAGTAAAATATTTTTCCTTACACTGATGAAGGGTATGAATTCATCTGTTTTCTTTGTTTGTAGAGGTCAATTACCTGCCGACGCTGAATTCAATTTCCTGGACCACGCCAAAAAAATCGAAATGTATGGCGTGGAACTACACAAGGCGAAGGACAACGCTAATAAAGAATTGCAGTTAGGGGTTACGCATATCGGGCTTGTGGTGTTCCAAAACAATATACGGATAAATGTATTTTCCTGGTCCAAGATCATGAAGATATCGTTTAAGAGAAAACAGTTTTTTATACAGCTTAGGCGGGAACTGGTGAGTAATTCCATGCAGGAAATTCGTTTTATGGTATATTCACTCCACGACGTGATCAGTGACCCTGAAAACCCCCGTATACCAAATTTGGCACGAATAATTTTTTGAAAATTTGTTTGGCCATCTTTGATCCGCTTTCTTGAATTTTGCAAAATTGACCTCGGATTCGTGGTCAGCAACTCCGAAAACCCCCATGTATTTTTGAAAATTTGGTCGGCCATCTTGGATCCGCCATCTTGAATTTTGCAAAATTGACCCCGGATCCGTGAGCAGCGACCCCGAAACCCCCGTATACCAAATTTGGCGCGAATCTGTTATTTTTTGAAAAAGAACCATAAATTTTGACCGTGGATTCACATTCGGCAGGGTCTTAACCATATAAATGAACATTTAAATATAGAATAAAAAAATTTTTGAATTTTTCCTAGCACTTTTTGACCTGTTTTTTGAGGTTAGGAAATTCTTGTGATGTGATAGCTCAATTCTGACACCGAATTCGTGATCAGGAGGCAAAAATACTACGGATAATATATGTCGCATGAAAAGTACAGACAACTATTTTTTTTGTGTGGCTGTGTTATGTCATGACCATTTTCTAACTAAGCAAAATAATCGTCCCTCTTATAATTCTGGAGAATTTATTCCTATATTAATCACAGACGAGGTATGCTTCAATCTATATGTCCCCATACCATTTTAACAGTGACCTTAATTAATAAGCGAGGACATACAAGACAGATAGTCAGCGGCGAATTCTGAACGATTACCTAAAAAATGGAAGGAAAATCTTACTACACATTTTTATCAAATTTTTTTAACTATCATGGTCTGAGAGTAAATTATACATGACATAAAATCAAGGTTGATAATGTTGATATATACATATCGTCATTGAGCGTGAAATGCCTATGTGGCCTTTGGTTTGCAGATGCAATTGGTTAGTTTTCATTCCTTTTATTATTTAATAAAACCTCATATTTACAAATTATAATTATTCTAGCATAAAACCGTGTTTTTGTAAACGTCCTATGTGCAAAAGATTGAAATTCGTCTTCGAATAGCTATTGTTTTTTCACCCTCCTGTAAAAAATGGTATTTTACACATAGGGGAGTTTTCACTCTCAATGATGATATGATGCAACTGGTAATTTTATAAATGTTTAGAAGTTAAATTTCAGCACCTACTGTCAAAAATAAAATTTATACAAATAAAGTGCCATTTCGACTTTTACAGATGTAATAGGAGCGTTTAAAATTTTTCGGATCGTAAGACGTGTGAGCAAATTTGCTACGGTAGCCTTTTCTCTCATATCTCCTGCGCAAGAAGTTCTCTAGCTGAAAGCGCATACAATTCATACAAGATTTTAAAGAGATTCTCACGACATTGAGTATGGATTTTTTACAGCGAAATTGTCAGATCTTTGCTTGTGTAAACGTTAAAGTAACTCATTGTATTTTTTTTAAAAGTATTAAGCTAGTTCAAACAAATTAAAATATATATATCGGATGTTTCACGTTAAATCAATCACTGCTCTCGCCAAAATTTGAAGACACTTAATAAATGGTTTTGGGCGTGCAAAAATTAGTTCTTCCCAATACTTTCAGATGTTATCTGGCAGAATTTGAGAATCCAATATGGCGGCCCAATATGGCGTGTGCAAATGTAAAAAAAATTAGGATTCATCCCATAAACTGCCTCCACAATATTACGGATAAATCCGTCTTTAAATAACCTTAATGGGGACTTCGAGATCGCTGTTCATAAATTTTCAGAAGATTCGAGTTGACAGTTTTTATATAACTGCTTGGCAAGCCATAAACTGCAAAACTCTTATGCAGACATCGTTCAATGGTCGATTTCACAGACAAGACAAGTCAGACTAGTCATTTCCTATGTTTTCGAAGTCGCTATAAATCATAAATTGAAGTCACTTTGATAATATCGTATCACTTTCCTATTCATGTCTCGCATTAAAACATTAAAGACTAGTTGTTTTTAATGTTTTTGGGGTTGCCAAATTGTAATTTAAAGTCGGTTCAATTGTATTATGCCACGTTCTAATTCTAACCTCAAAAAAAAAAAAATTTAATCGTAATGCTCCACATTTTCAACCTAAATTCTAAAAAGACTTGAAAGTAGCTTCTTTCCTAGCAAATCATGTAACAATTTAACCTTGATTCCCTACTTTATCGATATCAGTTCTCATCATGTTGGTCCCTTCATCAGTTGGAAACCTGTTCTCGAATTCGACGAACGATAATCCTCAATACTCTCGAATATAGTAATTTTAAGAAATGGGATTTTTTGCCAATACTGGCATTTTATTACTTTTTTGTATGGTTTCCCGAGTACAAATGCTACTGATAAATCGAGATTGAAAAATTCAAAATATCCACGGGATTTGAATTCATGACCCCTTGTTTTAGAGCAAACTGTCTTGCTAACTGAGCCAAGGACCTCTCTGACCTCGAAAACAAAGAAAAAAATGCTTTTAAGATTCAATTCATAGTATGAATGAAAAATCACAATTTTTAAATTCTTTTGGTCCAAGGATCAGAATGTGATTTGATATCATCGAAACGACTATAAATTATGATTTGTCAACCCCCGGAAACATGAGAAACGACAAGTCTCTTAGGATTGATCGCAGTATTAATAAAAAATCTTGATTTTTATTTTTTTTTTAATGTTACTAGAATAGAATAGAAGTGTTTATTTTCAAATAAACTAAAAGGAATAACATAATAACATGACATCGTACTATCCAGTTGATTTAAAATTACGATTCAGCGACTTCAAATTATGACCGTTGAACTATGTTTGAATAAAAGTTTTGTGGTTTATGGCTTGCTAAGCAGTTATATAAAAACTGCCAACTTGAATCTTCTGAAAATAACTTAAGATTTATGAACAGTGAATTCGAAGTCCCCATTAAAGATATTTGGAGACAGCTTTATTAGTAATATATTCACTGGAGGGAGTTTATTGGGCGAATCCTAATTTTTTTTACACTTGCAGGCGCCATATTGGATTTTCGAATGCTGCCACATAACATCTTAAAGTACTTGGAAGAACTAATTTTTGTACGCCCAAAACCATTTATTAAGTGTCTTCAAATTTTGGGGAGAGCCGTGATCGATTTAACGTGAAATGTCCCATATTATAATACAGGCTGTTACAAATTCGCTTCTTATTAGAGGGATCTCTGAAACAGTAAAAGATACGAAGTAGCTTAAATGGGGGCAAAGTTGCATAATCAGGGGACCTCTAAAAAATCAAGGCTAACAAGATTAGTTTTCGAAATATTTTAAAAAAGCTGAAATATTGAAACTGATATTGAAAAAGAGAACACTTTCTCATGGCAACTTTTTGTCCTCTATCGAATGGCATTATCAATTTTTATATGTAACGAAATTTTATTACATTTTTCGCAAGCCTTCATAACCCCCAATACTGTACTGACTAAGCCCGAACCAGATTCAGACGATTTGTCTCGAAAAGTTCATCTTCAATGTATTCGTTCCAAATATCTCAAATTTTTTATGCAACTTTGCCCCATTTAAGCTACATCGTATCTCTTACCGTTTCCGAGATCCCTGTAGTGAGAAGCGAATTTGTAACAGCCTGTATATATTACTAAAAAATTCAAATTAAGTCAATGTACTTTTATACCAGAAATCTAGGTACGCAAATGTAATCACAGACAAGGTAGTTAGGAAATTGTTGATATTGCAAGAAACAATTCTCTATACGCTAGATGCCACAACTAGCATTGAATTATACCAGCAATATATTTGTCAGTTTTACTCCAGCACCTACAGGATTTGAGCAAATCGTCTGAAAATTCTGAAAAATCGTGATAAAATTTATTTGGACAATATAAAATCTTAATCTTGTGTATTATAATGCGCTGAATACTAGTTAGTCTTCCTGGTCCTACGTAATTGAGTTATTTGAGAAAAATCCCCAAAAAATGCAAACAATCGCTAGAAAACCACTTATTTCGAAATTTTCACTGAATGAAGAATATTATTTGGATCAGTCCAAGATTTATTCCAACATATTTTGATGCACTGAACACGAATTTGACACTTGTTAAGCTGTAGGTTAAGTATTTTGAAAAAATGCTGGAAATGATTGAAGCACCAGTTTTACCATTTAAAATTCTGTAATCTTGAATGAAAAATTTCAGGCTTAACTAACACTGCACTTTGTACCGTTAGTTGCAAATATTCGATTTGTATTTTAAACTCATTTTATAATAATCGATAACGATTCACTAGCTTTGGGTCTGCAATATTGTCTATTTTTCATCGCTTGAGTGAAAGCAACGTACAAACCGGGAATATATGATTTACTCTTGGATCCTAGTTATTACAATGAGTCCATACCAATAATAAGTTTATTTTATGTTCATTTTAAGAAAGTAATAACAAAATTGCAACTATTTTAATGTCTCTGCGTAACAAATGTCTTTTTTATTAATTTATCAACCAATATTATGAGTCTTTTTACATTATCGAAATTAGCGAACCTGAAACATTCCCCTATCGTTTTAGTCGGAATCTTACGATACCCTGTTGGGCTTCAACATGGAGACGTACAGATCTTGCAAGACCCTGTGGAAGGCATGCGTCGAACACCACACGTTCTTTAGGTTGCACTCGCCAAGGGTAAGAAGAAAATTCCCCCTATCATTAGGTTCTAAGTTCACATATTCTGGCCGCACAGAGTTCCAAACAGTATCTGAGGTTAGACAAAGAGGGATATTAGAGAGAAAATTTGTTAGGTCTCCTAGTAAGCACTTGGTAAGTCCCAATTTGTGTACCTCGAGCACCCTATACAATGCATGCTGTGTCATTAATTCTAAAATCATTAATTGAGAAATTCCTATGAACACTAAATTATTTTTTATTTAATTTGATGCATTGGATAGTTTTTCCCAAAACCATTTTTCTTTTATATATTCTATGACTAACAAATTTTTGGTTTCTAATGATCTCAATTTATCAAGTGAAACTATACACACAAAACACCTAGATACTGTTTAGGAAATGTTCATAGCAATTTCTTGAATCCATTTTTTCTTTTTGTAAATAATGTATACAGGGTGTTAATGAACTTATATCAAATATTTTTGCCACATGTCCGTTATGTCAAAATGAGGTAAAGACACGGATTTATATTGAGTAAAATGTAATTTTTAAATCTGACTTATCTCAACATTGCAAGGAGCTACCTTTCGAGAACTGCTGATTTTCATAGAAGATGTTCCATGTACCCACCATTTGCTTGCACACAAGCCTCAGCGTGACGTATCCAATTCGCTTGCACGTGTTGCAACATTACCACATTCTCTTGAATTATATTACAAGCTTCCGTAATACGAGTTGCAGTTGATCGATGTCACGAACTTCTGTGGAATACACAACACATTTCACATATCCCCACAAAAAGAAGTCAAAGGGTTGAGGTCCGGGAACTGGGGGCCATCTAACTAGGCTGCCGCGACCTATGCAGCGATATATAAAAAATCTAGATATGAAGCACCGTCTAAGCGTCTAGGCAATTCAAAAGGTCCTATTAAAGTGTCATTAACGATACCGGCCCACATGTTCGCTGAAAACTGTTGCTGAAAGGTATCGCAATGTATTTTGTGTGGATTTTCGATAGTCCAGTGGTGAGTGTTGTGGACGTTACGTACACCATTTCGACTGAAAGGAAATTGGGGATTCCTGAAGCAACCATTTGCAAAAACCTCGACGTAGTGGAAAATTCTCAGGAGTAAGCCCTTGAACATGTTGAATATGAAATGAGTACAACTGTGCTTCTCGTAATGTCCGTCACATAACATGATGCTAAATATTTACTTGCTGTGCGATATTTTCTGGTGCTACGATGCGGATCTTCTTCAATGAGATCTAAAATCATCTCCTCGACATTTAAGATTCTTAGTGGTCTCCCTGGGCCACCGTCGCGACCTCGATGCGGTTGTACTTCACCGGTGTCCAAAACTCTTTGCGCTACAGCAACAAATATTCGCGGTGCGGGGGCACATCATTCAGGATATCATGCACGGTACACTTGACAAGCTCTGTAGGCATTTTCGTTTGCTTCGTCATAAATTATGAGCATATCATAATATTCGCGGTTGCTAAATAAATGTGGCATTTTCAAAAGAGAAAACTTGGAAATATGGCTATTAATATACTCTCAAAAAACAGCACAGCAATCACTAGAACAATGTATTACAAACTGACTTTCGAATACAGTCCGGCTTCATAACAAACCTACCAACTCGTAAAAAGTATTACGGAATCTTTTGTAAGTACTCGCCGCGATAAAATGCATGTATTTCAGCAGTTCCAAAACAGTTTTAAACACATTTTTAATTAGCTTTTTTCTCTGTGACCATAAACTTCCGATACAAGTTTGTGACATCAGTTAACTCAGTTTTTGTTCCTTTTTCACCTCTTTAAATTTTTGACACAAGTTCATTAACAGCCTGTATTGTAAATAAGTTAGTTAAGACAGGGTGGAACTTTGAATGGGGGTCATATTTATGCCTTTGCCTTTGACTTTTAGAAATACACAAGTTTGTTTTCCCAAATTCTGTGGTTTTCATACCCCACCACTGGACAGACCAGTGTAACCTGAAACACCCACCAGCAGTAGCCACGAGGCGTACCCAGTTTGGCGCAACAGCATGCATTATCAAATTTAATTTTTTTTATTAATACTCATTATTTTCATAATATCACAGAAATTTAACATAAAGACAGGTAAACACACCACACTTTCACTAAACACTGAAATATTTAACTTTATATTTATGCAATTAAATAAACTACACAAAACACTACACTACAAATTCTATTTCTATTCTAGTAAAAACTATTAATTTTCGCAGAAAGTTGTTAAATTACCTATTGTATTACAAACACTTCGTAAAACCGATGAACTGAAATAACAGATGTAATAAATGAAGCAGTAACATATATGGTCCTGCCTGTTTTGCCGATATAACATTGGCCCTGTTATCGGATGGATTGATATTATGTAGTTTACTTGAACTAGGTCATTGTCAGAGGTCATTGATGCTGAGATTCACAAACTAAACACAGTGCTTAAAGAATTAGTAACGAACACTTTTTATATTTAAAATATATGAAATGATTTGAAAAAATAGTTTAAATCTACCAGATTATTAAGTATTTTTATTTATTTTTTAGTACATTTTATAAAACAGCAAAAGCAATTATTTTAATACATAAACTAGTTTTACTTATAATTATTAAAAACATATCCAAGCCTATCCACGTATCAATATTAGTTAAAAAAATGTGGTGACTTTAAAATAACCTGTTACACTGTTGCAAAATTATACAAAAGCAATCTGTTTCTATGAAATTATTTTCCATTGCAGTTTCACTCTCTGCCAGTCATTTGGTTTTATATGCAGACTGTTGATTTGATTAAAAAATACATTTTACGTGTTCTGGGCAACACATATTATTATCCCTAACAAACAGACCTCCACTTAAAGTTACACTGTACATATGTATATTTTATTCGAGTTTCCAGTACCTTTGTGTACATGTGCATTTTGATTTATAAAACTTTTCTGCTTTTGATTGATGTACTATAAAAAACAGAAAAGTATTGTTAATAGTAAATAATGTCTCGTGTACATGAAAGGGATTTCTGACTAAATTTAGAAGAACTTTTAGGGAATTCAAAGAAATGCATTTGTTACAAATAAGGGAAATCGTGTGCAAAATTGGAATTGTGGTTTGAAATGATTATACTAATGACAAATATTTGATCAGGAAAATTGTCCTTATCAAAACTTGTCTTCCTTTTCAGATTTTGTTATGTGATTTCCTGTTTTATTCCGAGAATAGTACTCATTCGTTTTTGAAAATCATTTTCCATGGAAGTATGTAGTCATTCGTTCATTGATTGATTCATTTGTGCTATAGGTTGTAAATTAATTTCAATTCTGAGAACCGGTCACAGCATTGTATTATTTAATTTCCAAACTTTCTCAGTTGAATGTGGAATGAAGCTTCAGGAACGAAACAGGAAGAAATAATAGGAAAGTTCTCTATAGGGACTGTCCTTATGGGATGTACAGGGTGTTTTGGAAAAAGGTGCCATAATTTCTGAGTTTTTCGTTTTAATTTTTTAGATTCGGCAGTCTGTTCCCTCTCCTCCTGCTTTAGAGGATAAAGGAAAAGTTTTGACAGCGCCCGCCAGACCTCCCGGACCATATGCCCACAAAGTCACTTCTCTAGGCACTAAGGAACCCAAAAAAGCCTGGACGGAAGACTCACACATATCAGATGAGTAAGTAAATTTTTCTATTAACCTGACGTTAATTTGACGTTAAATTGACGATAAAAATTTACTTCATTTGTAGGAATTAATATTACTTTAATAAAAGTTGGATATAAACAAAATTATTGAATAATTTAATATGTCTATCTTTAAATTGTTGTTTCTGTTAAAATACAAAATGCTTTGTTTAGAATATCTAATTTTTAAAGAATTTTCATAACATTTTTTTAAAAATTTTTTAATTTATAAATTTATTGAATTTTTCTATTTCATTAGAGTTGTTGCAAACATTGTGATTTATTAATTTATTATTTATTTGTTAATTTTTCAAAAAAATGCGGCGGCATTTGAAATAAATGCTGTAATAAAAAATTTAAAAAATTCGAAGTTACCTGAAATATATTTTTTGGTTTATTTTTTGCAAATGTCACATGCTGTGCAGTAGCGAAATAACCGCAAACGCTCTGCCTGATTCACGATTCCAGACTCGCCCATTGATAAAATACTGTTTTCTTATTATTTCAACTTCAATTCTGAAATCAAAATACGTAATTTTAGTTTTATTGTTAAATTCAAATTTCATCCCTGTTTCGAGTTGGAGTCAGTATTAACCTGTGTAATGCGACTTCTACAATTCGTGACTCATATTCTTACACAAATACTTTCAATACCATAACATAAAAACTGGTATTGGTGGGTGGAATCCAGTAAAACCCCACTCCAGTATCGTATCGGAAATCAGTGAGGTTTAATTTAATTAAAGTTTTCAATTGTTAGTTTGTTATTTTGTATTTTTTTACCTAATAATTACATTTCAAGCAGACAGCCGTTCTCAAAATGTAATGTATAAAGGGGCAGATTTAAAAAAAATGTACAGCTTCTTTATTTTTTGACCAATTTCAAAATTTTTTATTTTTAGAATGTAGGATAAAAAAACTATCTAACTGTAATGCTGCTGTTTTCATTAATGCAATTCATGGCCAACTAGGACGCATTTTTTTGATGCCAAAACAGCCAATTGGTATTACCAATTTTTTTTCCAAAAAACAGATTACATATTCTCATTCAGCATCCCTTAAAATGTCCTATCACCAAGTTTCATCAATTTTGATACATCTTCAGACAAGCACTAGTTGGTCGGTATTGCATTAATAAAAAACAGCAGTATTATCACAGTTAGATAGTTTTTTTACCCTTCATCCCGTAAAAAAAATTTTTGAAATCGACCAAAAAATAAAGAAGTTACACGCTTGTACAGGGTGGTGCAATGGGTATTGACGATTTTTGAGACGCCACTGTCCGAATATGAGTAAAGTGGAGGGTATATTCAACCGCTTAAAATATTCCGCATGTAATGCCATTTAGTAGCCATGGAGACGTGGCCAGTGAACCAACGCAACTTTTGCGTTAGGGCGTATCACCGATCGGAGTCTGTTATTGAGGTGCAACGACAGTTTCGGCATGAATATAACATTCCAAGGTGTGGTAGAATTCCTTCGCGCAACACAATTTTGCGGTGGGTTGCAAAGTTTCATGATCATGGAAGTGTAAAAAATGAATTTGTCGGTTCTATCAAAACTGTGCATACACCGGAGAACATAGAGCGAGTACGGCAAGCTGTAATAAGGAGTCCAGTTCGTTCAGCAAGGCGTAGCAAGCAGTAGCATAAAACATTACACGAAGAAGTTTAGGTCGAATTTTACACGAAGACCTACGATTTCATCCATACAAAATTCAAGTTGTTTATAAAATTTTACCGCAAGATTTACCAGCACGATTGCAATTTTGTAGAACATTTTTTGATGTACTGAACCCAAATGTTTTAAATTTGATAATGTCTGATGAGGCACATTTCCATTTATCAGGATATGTGTATCAACAAATTCACGAACAACCTCTGCATTCCGAAAAAGTTACCGTATGATGCGGTGTGTCTGCATTCAGAATACTAGGCCCGTACTTTTTTGATAAAAATGACTGTACAGTGATTGTAACTTCTCAACGGTATTTAGAGATGCTTCTAAATTTTTTACCTGCTGAATTGCAACGACGGGGTAGAAAATAACGTCTTATGTTTCCAGCAGGATGGAGCAACAAGGCATACTCCGCGAATTTGCATGGCTGGTCTAAGAAACATGTTTCCTGGACGACTTATTTCCCGTCATGGTGATTTTAATTGGCCGCCGAGGTCACCAGATTTGACCAGCCCTGATTTTTTCTTATGGGGATATTTGAAGGCTAGGGTTTTCGAAAATAGACCTCCACCCTACAAGCTTTAAAAGACAACATTACTCGAGAAATCAGAGCGATAAACCAGGAGATACTGCTACGAGTTACAGAGAATTTTCAATCATGACTTCAGGAATGTTTAGAAAAACGTGGCGGCCATTTAAAAGACATTATTTTAAAAAAATAATTTTCGTTGTCAAACTGCATTATATGTGTAATAAAAATATATCTTTTTGACCTTGGTTGTTTCATTGGTATATCAATAATAACACTCTAAAAACCGTCAATACCCATTGCGCCACATTACGCAACATCACGGAGTGCTCGCCTGAAGATGTATCGAATTTGATGAAACTTGGTAGTAAGACGTTTTAAGGGATGCTAAATGAGAATACGTAATCTGTTTTTTGGAAAAAAAATCGCTAATAGCAGTCAAGAAAACACGTCCTAGTTGGCTATGAATTGCATTAATAAAAACAGCAATACCACAGTTAGATAGTTTTTTTTAGCCCACATTCCAAATTAAAAATTTTGCCAAAAAATAAAAAAATTACAGGCTTGTATCATATTTAAATGCGACATCCTGTAAATATTTGTAATTTTGACAGATAACTTTCTCTGGACCCATGAACGTACATGTATATGAACACATTTAAGGATAATTCTGTATCATTTACTTACATTACTTTTTTCCCAGTGATGGCGGTTTTCTGGAAAAGACCCTAGAAGGTCCGTTCTCACCTGGTATCGCAGGCAGGGTCATAAGTTATGCCGACGAGGAGCCCCCTTCGCCCACATCGAACGGTCTGTACGACACCCCTCCTTACAGCATCAGCCATTCCCCCACCTCGCAGATAATAGAAGATGGCCTTGTAACAATTGTCCTCTACCCCGACGAAGATGGAAAATACGGCTTTAACGTCAAAGGTAGTGGTAGAAGTAGGATTTTATAGTCAGCGTCCTTTCATTTTTTGAAATTCTGAAATATGTGTATTGTATTGTTGACGTTTTATAATATTTTATCCACTTCTAGGTGGAACGGACACCGCCGTACCTATATTGGTGTCCCGAGTGGCCCCGAACACCCCCGCGGACAAGGGAACGCCGAGACTTACCGAGGGCGACCAGTTGATCCAGATCAACGGCCACGATGTTTCTCACGCGCTCCACCAAGATGTCGTTAAGCTTATTCAAGATGCAAGGGCAACAGACTCAGGTTAGTCCATTTTACAGATTGTGTAAGCGTAGTATGTTTTCTTTATTGAGAAAATAGGAGAACGCAAATCAATGATATATTCACAGTTATACTCACATTTATACTACACAGTGCAGCTATTAAGTTTTAAGACTAAGATCAGAAAATAAACGTAAATAATCAGAACGTAAAATTTTTTTTATTTTACTCTATGTACACATCAAAACACTGGACGCGATTCGCTAACCGTTCTAGCGCATTAGCGAAGTCATCTGGTGCCTCATGCAGCTCCCTCATCTCAGCTTTTTGAATTGTCGAAATATCATCAAAATTATTGCCTTTTAATTGTGATTTAATTTTCGAGAATAAAAGTCAAATCTGACTAATACGGTGGGCGGTTAAACAAGATAACGTTTTTTTTTTTTGGGCTGAGAATTGTCAAAGAATGAGCGTTATGGGCTGGCGTATTATCGTATAACAGAACCAACTCCATCGACACGTACAATTCTGAGCGAACTATCGCAATTCTCTTCAGCAAACGATCCAACACATCAGAAACTCTATTCATGTAGAACGTTATAATTTCGTGATAAATACATATATACTGATGAAATTTTGTTCCGTAGTTCAGAAGGTTTTCCACTACGTAGTTTCGTTGACCGCACATAGATAACGCCACACACTTCGTCACAATTAAATCAGTCTTAAAACTTAATCGCTGGACTGTACATCATTTGTTAAATAAAAATGAAACATACTAAATTGAGTATAGTGAAAAAATATTAAAAAAGAACTTGTGGGTGGGTTGTAGAGGTGTTTTAAAATTTTATGAGCTTTGACTTGACCTTCATATGTGCCGAAACATAATTCCGGCCTAAATTATTCTACGTCCTAAAAACATTACATCTATTATTCACAGTCTATCTCAAAAGTCTCTATACAAATATGATAATAAAATGCCCTATTCTTTATTATTTTAATTTAATCAATAAAAATATATATAACGAACGTTCGCCAGTCGACTTTATTGATGCCCAAGCGCCTTAGTTCATTTCTGGTTGTAATGAGGTACGTGGTCTAATTCTGAGTCAATGTTTTCACAACATGCTTATTAGAAGAATTATGCGGATACGCCACGCCTTTCGCCCATTTCGCGGCTCATGAGATATTAAAACACCTCTACCCTGATGAATAGCCACAAAAGTTGCAAGTGTGAATACTGAAGTGACTTATTTTGATAACTGATGCCTCATATTTACTTTTCTTGAACTTTGATCTACATCTCGACCATTTCGAAAACTTTCGAGTTGAGTCTTGGCATATTAAATTTAACATCACGTTTTATAGCCATGTACGTCAAAAAAACCTTTTTCTTTATTAATAATTTCAATAAAACCACTCTAATACTTTGGTGATCAGGAATCGTTATAAATAGCTTTGAAATAATCATTATTATTTGTTTATTGACATTTTGATTGATGAAACACGTGGATTTAAATAAATCCGACAAAGAATTGAACTGCCCTACATTTTACTAAAAATAAGTTAATAGGTTGTTCAAATATTATAATTCTGTTGTGAAACCATATAATTTATTGACCAGTCTGTATTTTTATTACACGTAAGTGTATCGCCAGCAAGTAATTTTTAGTTGTTTAGGAACATCCTGAACATTTTAATATTACTTAATAATGAAGCAGTATAACATTGGTAAGTAAAATAACCTTAGATTTGACAAAATATCGTTCAGTGAAAGGTACACAAAATGGACTAAAATAATATGTTTGCTCGTTAAAAATGAATCATCGTTCGACGTTCAGTTGTGTGACAGAATGAATCACGTTGTCCATTTGTGTGATCATGCAAAAAATTAATTTTTGCTTATGTTCTTGTTCTTTTACCGCAAAACTTATGCTAATAGGCTGTTTAAATATTTGTTTCATTGTGAAACATTAAAATTTCTTTGCCAGTATGTTTTTATTACACATAAGTGTATTGTGGCAAGCAATTTTTAAAAAATTGCCAAATTACACTTGAACCTTGAAATCACATTGTTCATTTGTATGATCATTAATTCTTTAACCACTCTTTTGCAGTAAAACCTACTATAATAGACTGTTTAAATATTAATTTTATTGTGAAACAAAATTTGTCAATGTATATTTTTATTACACATGAGTGTATTGTGGCAAGTTATTTTTAGTTACTTAAGAATATTCTGAACAACCTGCACTGAAAGGAACACAAGATGTGTAGTAAAATGCTGGAAAATTTTATTTTTGGAGAATTTTCGTCAAGCATATACATATAAGAATAAACGAGAAAAATAGCGAAATATTTTGTATTTGAAAATTCTGAAAGTTTTCATTATTTTCCAACATTCTCATGAAAACTGTATATTGAATTATTTTTAGAAAATGCTCCTAATTACTCTACATTTTCCAATATTTATAGAAACAATATTTAAAAAAATAGTGTGAAATTTGAGAAAATTCAGAAATAAGTTTTACTTTTGTGTTTTTGAAGAGAATGTGCACAATAGTTCTTGCCATTACAGAACTATGTTTAAGAATATTCTAATAATTTAAAATATTTTAAGAATGGTAAATAAAATAACCTTAAATAGAAAAATAAGGGACAATAAAATTCTAAAATATTTTGTCCCCTCAAAACAAACCACATCGTTCATTTGTGTGACGGAATTATTGATGTGATTATTTGTGTGATCGTTAATTTTCCAATATTTATAATCGTATATATTCTTTTTCAGGGTAAGTTGTGCTAATAGTCTGTATAAATGTTATAGTTGTGTTGTCAAACTATAAATTCTTTTTTTACAGTGTAATAATTACACAATGTTTAGTGGAAACTATTTTCAAATATTTAATATTTTGATAATACAGTATCTCTTAACAATGAAACAATATAACATTGGTAAGCAAAACAACCTTAGATAAGTGAAAATGACGTACAATGAATTATTGGGTCACTCAAATCAAATCACATTATTTATATGTGTGACGGAACAAATCACATGGTGCATTTGTGTGATCATTAATTTTTCAATACGTAGAATCGTATATATTATTTTGTAGGGAAACTTGCTCTAATATACCGTATAAATTTTTAATAATAAAACTATAACATTGATAACTAAAGTAACTTTAGATTTGAAGAAAGATCTGCAAAAAGAGGAATATGAAATGAGCCAAAATATTTTGTAGAGTTAATAAGCAATCACTGTCATTCGTGCGATCGTTAATTTTTTGTATACTCAGAACCATGTCTGTTGTTTACAGGGAAACTTGTGCTAACCGTGAAACCTAACGCTCACTACCAAGGCCTTGAAGAATTCGAAGAACCTCCATATCAATACGTTCCCGTGGGAGAACTGAGACCGCCATCTCCGGGAAATGCCTTACAGCAGAGCATGCTCCTACTGGCAGACGGCTTAGCCAGTGGCGCTCTAGTGGCTAGATACGAAATGTTGTACAGGAAACACCCTGACATGACCTGTGATGAGGCGGCCAAACCCCAAAACGTCAATAAGAATAGATACAGAGATATATCGCCTTGTAAGTAACTTGCAAAATAGAAATTGTAGAAAATTGTGAAATTTTGTATTTGTATGAAACAAAAGATAAGAATTCTGATTATTACAAAAACTTTGAAAATATCAGGATCATTTTTGCTAAGAAGATTATTGTTAATTTTGTATATCAGCAGTTCCAAAACTTTTTGTTGAAAAATAAAAAGTTTTGGAATCAGCAAAAATAATGAATGTTTGCATAGTTTCGCGGCATCTAAAACTTAAAATGAAGCCTTAGAACCATTTCTTCTGAGCAGATTATTGTTAATTTAGTATACCAGCAGTTCCAAAATGATTGTTGACAACAAAAATGTTTCTTCTAGACGACACAACGAGAGTGATTTTGAAAAATGCCCCGAATGGTGACTACATCAACGCTAACTACGTCAACATGGCAATATCCAACGCCGAGATAGAGAATCGCTACATCGCCACTCAGGGCCCCTTGCCGTCCACCACCGAGGATTTCTGGCAGATGATTCTGGAAGAGGGGTGCAATTTGATCGTGATGCTGACGACGTTGGTGGAGAGAGGCAGGGCGAAATGCCATAAGTACTGGCCGAACGTGGGGGAGGTGCTCACGATGCAGAACGCGATTGTCAAGTGCGTCAGCGAGGAAACGGATCCGTCTGAGAGTTTCGTCTTCAGAGATTTCGTTCTTGTTGATGTTAAGGTAGGTTGCTTTTAATAGTCTTCGATTGATTTAATGAAGTGTTATAGTTTACTCAAATTGTAGTTTTTCGTTATAATTCGAAAAACCTACATGTAAAGGGTGTCCCAAAATCGCGCAAGAAGTAATTTTAATAGAAAACACAATTTATTTAATTAAAAATTGTACATTTTTCATTGACCTATTAAGTATAGAGTATGGGGTTATGTATGAAATAACATATCTTTTGTCGAAATTTTGCGTGACCATTTTGCATAAACGCGGCTAAATTTCGTTAATACAGTGCTCAATTTCCTCCCTCAGGGTGTGGGTCGTTGTGGGATTGTTGGACTTGAGGGACTTCAAAAAAACCCTGAAGAAAAAAGTCCAACAGTGTTAAATCGCGTGATTTGGGTGGACAATTTTGATCACGAAAATGGGAAACTACACAACCAGCAAATGACTTACGCAGTATTTGAATTGTTTCTCGGACTGTGTGGCATGTTGCACCGTCTTGTAGCAACCACAAGTCGTCTACGGCCATATCCTGCAGTTTAGGTGCAAAATACTGGATTATTATGTCGCGATAGCAAGCACCATTAACTGTTATTGTTCGACCAACCGCATTTTTGGAGAAGAATGGTATGATGATGCCTCTAGCCAAAATCCGCACTAAACACGTGGATGCATCTGTTTCTCAACAAACCCTCATGGATTCTCTGAATCCCAAATGCAATAATTTGTCAATTAACCTTTTCACTGCTCCAAACGTATATATTCGCTAAAAATTTGTAGGGCTCAAACTGCTCCAGACGGATTAATTCGCATGAATAGTTAAATTGGATCAGGCTGTTCAAACCGTATATATTCGCAACCATGCGCATTAGTGACTTGGTTATTGCAATTGGTAAGGCGAATTTTTGCGGGCGAGCTTATACCGATTGTGACAAATATTTTTATGGAAAGAGGTACTGGTAATAATACCAAGATTGTTCATGTTTCTTTCAGTTTCTATTTAGTACATATACTGTATTTTATTCAAAATAAAATTGTAAAATTTATCGCAAATCGTAATTTAACATAACATAATGTAAAACTATAAGTGGTCAAACTGCTCCAGACGTATATATTCGCACGCGATAAACTTTCGCGCACGGCGCGGTAGCTACGTTCAGATGTATTGCGCAGCGAAAGGGTTAACAAAGCCATCAAGATAAAAATGAGCCTCATCACTGAAGATGGTTTTGATCGAAAAATCAGCATCCACTTGTTCCACAATCCATTCAACAAACTCTCTTTGCTCTGGGTGGTTAATAGCCCTTAATTCTGGAACAAGTTGAACTTTGTAAGCATGAAAATGCAAATTTTTTTGTAGAGAACTTCTAGAGAATGTCCAATTTTTTATCACAGTTCCTGATTGATGTCCCTGGACCAAATCTCCCTCTAAACTGCGTGGCTGTGCACTAATTTTCCTAAAGTTGCGCAACCATTTTTATATTTTGCGTACAATGGGCTTGTTCACCATTTTTTTTAATTTCATTTTCATTTTATAACAGAATTGCATCTAAAAATTGTAAAATCCAAATTTCACTAAAAAAAAGGTAAAATTGAGGGGATCAAAAAACTATTTTAACATTTAACATATTTGCTCCAATATACTTTTGTACCGTGCCGTTCAGAGAAAAAATTAGAGGGAACATTACCCAGGACTCAGCAACACTCTCACGAACTGCTTCAATATTTTATGTTGAAAGACGGCCAGTTGATCCAGTCTGTGAGTTTTTCAATTAATCTCTTCACGGTTAATGTAGTTCCAGCCATATTTTGTACGAAAATTGTGAACTGTAGCTGACAAACTTTCAGTATTTTTAATATGTATATTGCTCAACAATGAAAACGTTCTTTCGTGTAGCGCTCCATTTTTTGTTTGTCTTTATTCACTTCGTTGGTAACGCTTTACCACACAAATGGTGCACTCTACTTTGCAGGATTCTATGTTAGATAAACAATCTCTCTACAAAAGTAATACATTTTTACATATAATGCTCTGTATCTCTAAAACAAACCAAGGTAACATGAAGTAATTTTCACCGCCCGATTTTTCTATCTTTCATAGAATGATGAGTCGAGAGAAATCAAGCACATGCAGTATATCGCCTGGCCGGACCACGGGGTACCCGAGTCCCCGCAACAGTTCCTAAGTTTCACCGACAAGGTGCGTCAGTCGAGGAAAAGCGACGCGCCCGTCGTGGTGCATTGTAGTGCTGGTATAGGAAGGACGGGCGTCTTGGTTCTTATGGAAACTGCTCTCTGTTTAATAGAGACAGGGGAGCCCGTGTATCCGTTAGAAATAGTGAAGACCATGAGGGAACAACGTGCTATGATGATACAGAATGCTGTAAGTACATTTTCAAAAAATAATGTTTTAGTAGTATTTGACGTTACTTTATTTATTGATTATTTTTATTTTTAATTCTGCACATATTTTCTATTTTTTTATGTTCAAATAATATATTTTTTTAATATCAACAAAACTGTTCAAAATATTTATTTTGCTTGGATATACTGGGTGCTTGTTTTTCGAGTTGCACTCTAAGGATATTAGTTATCTTGAAATATACAAGCTGGATCAAATTAGGGCAGAGTTGCGGAATTTTATAATAGATAACTTGCTGAAGAGAAATTTGTATTTGTATCGCTAAGAAATTTGATTTTGATTTTTTTGCATTTTCATTGAAAATTTTCAATGAAATACTAGAAATTTTGAGTTTTCTTTTAATGGAAAGACGGCCTTATAACATTTTTTAGACATGTTCTTTGTGGAGAATTGAAATACGTTGTGCTGTTAACCGTGACCGCTATTAGTTTAGAGAAACGGCACGCAACTTTTATTTGTTTCAGGTATTGGATTTTCACTTTTTTTTAATTCTGCACATTTTTCTGATTACAATGATATGTCATTTGTTATAGCCTACTTTGTTATGTTCATCGAAATATCAAATTATCCACTTTGACAAAGAATGCTTTGGAAACAAAACAAAACTATTACGCCAAATAAAATTTTGACAGTTTACTTAAATTGTCGTTGATATCAATGTTTATAGAATTAAAAGTATCATTTAAATTGTAATTGAAGAGCGAGATATGCTTCAAACTTACTAATAAATGAGTTATTAGTTATGTGAAGAATATCTCGTTTAGTTTAATGTAAAATTTGTATTTTTTTTTACCTTTAAACTTCAATGCCAAGGAAAATTTTACTGAACTGTCAAAATTTCGTGTGGTGTAATAGTGAGTTGTTTTGTTTTCAAAGCACTCTTAGTAAAAATTGAAAATTTGATATTTCGAAGGAAACCATATCTTATGAAACAGTGAAGCTAAAAAATCGCTGAAGTGTGGAATCCAACCGTGTGCGCCTATAGGATTTTTTAGGAAAAATTTGTTTTAATTCATTCATAACACTTTTATAATAAAATAAAAATATCGTAATCAGGAAAATGTGTTAAATTCAAAAATGTAAAAATCCAATATGAATAAAAAAAAACAAAAGTTGAATGTCATTTCTACAACCTAAAACATATTAAAGTCCATTTTAGATTTAAAAAAAAATAAAGAAAATCAAAATTTTCGGCTTTTCACCAATAATTTCAAAACAAAAAGTGAAATTTCTCTTAGAATAATCCCTATGATGCGGCTGGAAAATTGAGCCCCCAATATTTCTAACTATCGACAGAATGTTGAGCAAGGAACCGAAATACGGTCAGCATTGTGTACATTTTCTCATTTTCTTGCAGAGTCAGTACCGTTTTGTCTGTGAAAGCGTCCACGCTGCGTACAGCGAAAAAACCGCCAGCCAACAGGATACTTGATAATTTTAAAAGAGAATCGGTCAAACGAACGTCAGATATCCTCAAAAATGCCTAATCGTTTTTGTTTATGTTTCCAGAATTTTATTTTCATTTACGTGCTTTCGAGCATTTTTGAGAATGTAGCTAGGATTGTCAGGGTTTTGGGAAAAGTTTGCATCCGTCGTTACAACTTGGAATCATGTGACATGTGATTTATAAGCCTTACAAACGTAAGATTACACCAAGATAGCCTTATTTCAACCCAAAACGTTTAATTTTTCAATTAAAACATTTTGCTTTGTAATGATTTCGTTTGAAATTCTGTTAATAATAATTTTTAACATAATAAGAAGATCCTCTTTTCGTTGATTTGTAAATAACAGGTTTCAAATTATGAAAACAATATTAATAATTCGAACTTAAGTATTAAATTGGTAAATACTCATTTTCAGTAATTTATTTAATATCAATATTATTCACACTTTTATCGTGACGAAAGTAATTTTATAAAAATATAAAAGTAGTTTAAAGGAGTTAAAACTGTGCAATAAGATTTTTGGTAAAAAAAATATTACAATAAACATTGGTCAGGTCTTTGGGCCCATTTACACAAAAAAATATTCTTGTAAAAATATTTTTTCCAGAATACCAGTTACTTTAACAGTTAACGTGATAGTATAAAAAAATATGGATTCATTTTAAGTTGTAATTTTTCCTTGATTAAAAAAGTTCGTCTCAGTTATTTTTCTGTGTAAATGTTAACATGTAAATTGTGTCATGGAGTGTTAAAGTTTTTGAGTAGATTTCGTCCATTGTCGTTTCGGTCCTAAAAAAATTAATCGATCCAGTTTAATGTTTAAGATGATGTAAAGGCTGATTTTTTTTACAGTCACTTTGAAAAATATTTTTGACTGCCCCGTTATACACAGAATGTATTTTAAAATATTTTAGAAATATGCATGTAAAATTCTATGTTTGTGTCTTAACTTTTTACTATTGTATAATTTTTTAATTTTATTTTTTTAGTGAACTAACTTGTAATTAGTAATTCTTTACTTTGTATAAAGTACAAAAAATTGCGTATCGCTTACTTTCATTTTAATTGCTAGTTGTACCTTTGAGGATTTTATTTTTTAAATATTGATTTTGTAAATGTACTTTTTAATTAACATAATTAAATTATGTAATGAAAGTTAATAAAAGAAGTAATATATGAATATATATATATGGAACGAAGCACTCGTTTCTATCAGGGCTTCCTGTATTTGCACTGTATCCATACCCGATACATTTCCAGTAACCTTCCCCTGTTGACTTGCAAGCGCCTATCTACTCTGTTTTCCACTTCCTTAAATCCAGCATCTTCGAACAATGACTTTACCTCATCTGAAAGAAAAAAAAATGATTGTAAATTAAAATAAGAATCATTCGAAATTGGTGAAGTGAATCATGAACATATTTCAGGTAAGAAAGAATGAAAAACAATAAAGGAGATATCGACTGCAAACAAAAAAAAAGGAGATGTAGTTAGCCTAGTCCTAGCCAAATGCAGTCTCCGGTTACTCTGCAACAGTTCAGTGCCACAAACAAAAAGGTTTTTCCTTTTCGGTTTGTATAAATTTTCACGTCAGTTTTTCCAGATTAAACATTCGAGTATGCACTTGATCTAAAATTACATAGTTCATATTTACGTCCAGTTTGTTTCAACCAAATATTTCTGTTAACAAATTTGTAAAATATTTATTAATCACATATTTATTCTGCATGTTTAGCTTAGTATTTATTAGAAAATATATATCTTTAACCTTATTAGTTTTATTCTTTATCAAAAAGTTCACTCATAGTAAAAAGATCGAAGACAGATATTTTACCGAAAAACACTAGGTGTAAGAATTCAAAAAGAATACGTTTAGTAATAGAAATTCAAAATTTTCTTGGCAACCAAAATAATTAAAAAGAAATAAAGACAGAATCCTAAGAAAAGAACTCTGCTCTCCGAACAAGTCCCACTACCAGCACTTACTCAGAACTTTCTTTGGATACAGAAAAGCTTACGCCAACATCTTGAACCCCAAACAACAAGAGTTAAAAAAATACCCAGGTCGAAAAGTGATACTCAAAAAAATCCATCAAACCCATGAATATTTATAACATGGCGCCCAATGTGGGGCCATAAATGGAACGGGAACAAAAAACACAGAATCAACCACGAGATTATGGATATTTATAACAATACAGATAAGATGGGATAGCATTTGGATCTAGGAAACGGTAAAAGATATGGGGTGGATCAAATTAGAAAAAAGTTGTGTTTTTTAATACCTAACAATATGCCGTTTTAAAATTGTGGGTAGTTCTGGAGATATCCGGAAAATGTCGAAATTTTACAAAATCGTTTTTTTCTGGCTTTATTTGAAAACGAGTTTTAAAATAAATTGTATATTTACCGTGCCACTTTTTTCGCTCTATCCAATGACGTCAACATTTTTGCAATCCGATGTTTCGTCTTCGAGGGGCCATGATCACGTAAATTTTTTTAAATAAATCGTTGCTATTTTTATGACAAAATCAAGTAATTTTTAATTCTTAATTAGATGATATTACTATTGCAATATTGAATTGTAATTGTATTGTAAAAACGTTTTCAGCTTGTTTTAGCTATCGTTTAAAATTTTTGCTGAGTACGGCTCTGAACGCTTTCAAAGTATCTATTGGAGAAAGTCATAACAGTATAAGCCTCGTTTCACGCTTGCCGGACCGGCTGGCTCTTTCACACGTAGTTTAATTTTCAAACTGGTTTGGCCGATATTTAGCATTGCAATTATGTGGCTTGGCTATTACCAATGTCGTTGCAATAAAAAAAAAACAAAACATATGAAAAATATCCGAAAAATGTGAAAAGGCTAAAGTTTTGTTCCACTGAACAGGTCTGGTTTCAACCAGTGATATAAAGAATGCAATATCTACTTCTAGGGAACAAACATTCGACATAGTTGTGTACAAATATTAAATTAGCCGGTACACGGCAGCCAGGCTGGTAGTGGTGGCGACCGGCTACAACCCAGCGGCCGTTCGCCGGATAGCTCCTTCCATCACGTGTGAAAGCTGCCATAAGACTCTGTACACCTTGCTACCGGGTAACCAGATCCGGTTAGCCGGTTCCGGCATGTGTGTAACGGGTATAAAAGTCAATACAGCACAAAATATCCAACAATTTTTTTTAATCAATAACTTAAAACAGTTGTACCTAATAAAAATAATACAAATTTATGAAATGTTTTATTATTTCTAATTAGTATTGCTAATAGTAGAAAAAAAATTGTTGGTTATTTTGTGCTGTATTGACTTTTATACTGTTATGATTTCCTCCAACGGATATTTTGAAAGCGTCTCAGGAAAAAATTTAAATGATAGCTAAAATAAGCTAAAAGCCTTTTTAAGTGATACAATAGTAATATCATCTAATTTAGAATTAAAAATAACTAGATTCTGTCATAAAAATAGCAGCGACGTATTTAAAAAAATGAACCTCTGATCATGGCTCCTCAGACGAAACGTCGGATTGCAAAAATGTTGATGCCATTGGATAGAGTGAAAAATGTGGCATTGTAAATATGCATTTATTTTAAAATTCGTTTTCAAATAGAGCCATAAAAGAAAATAAAACGATTTTTCCTAGATTCTAATGCTTATCCCATCCTTATCTTGGACACAGGGTTTAAATTATTAAACAACAGGAAGACAAATGATAATATTTTGAGGCAGCAAGGAATATGATTAAAAAACTTTTAAAAAAGAAATTATGTAATGTTGTTTATGAGCCCCACAGAAAAAAAGTGTTCGGACTTGTGGGTCGGACATATGTATTCCCATGTATTTTTCGACACTGAATCCGATCCTGAGCTCAGAAATGGCCCTCCACATCTGGAATTGGCCCCAGGGGCCAAAAATGGCCTCTATAGGGCCTGAAAGATGGATTCTGGGATGAGGCGAAGTCGAAGGGGAATTTCAGTTGGACATAAACTTTTCGGCCACAAATCCGGCTTTGGCTTTAGAATGCAATTCCAGACGTGGAGGGCCATTTCTGAGCTTGGGATGGGATTCAGCATCGAAAAATACATGGGAATACATATGTCCGACCCACAAGTCCGAACACTTTTTTTTGTGGGGCTGTGTAATTTAATAAAAATTACAAAAAAACAACTTATAATTAACTCACTTCTTCAAACGGTAAATGGAAGAAATTGAAAATAAAAATGATACTAAAAGTAAAAAACATGAAATTGGAAGAACATTGAGGGGACTGGAAAGTCTTTATTATGTTACAACTTCAGGGGTGTGCTCCTTGCATGATTTTATTCCAAAACGAACGAAAGATCTAATGCAACTGACGTTGAAATTTAAAAAAATCACATTTTTCAAATACATTGCAAGGTAGGTACTTATAAAGGGTTATCCATTTTCTCCTTGGGAAAGTAAAGTTTTAAAAAACACACTGAATATTTAAATTTCGATGGAACTTTTATTTCATAATAAAGTTTGGACTATGCCATTATGCGTGAAAAACAATATTATTCAAATGTCCTCCACGGAACCATTTGCAGGACTCAATCTTTTTGAGGTAATTTTCGAAGACTTTTTCACACAATTCGGGCAATAATCCGGCCATAACTTGGCGTATCTCGTCCTTCAATTACTCCAAAGTTGTGGGATTGTTCGCATAACTACGGTCTTTCGCATAGCCCCACAAAGAGAAATCCAAAGGCGTTAAATCGTAGGATTTTGGTAGCCAAGCCACATCGCCGAATCTCGAAATTACGCGTCCTGGGAATTTCTCGCGCAATAGAGCCATAATTGGCCGCGTTATGTGGCATGTGGCCCCATTTTGTTGAAACCACATATCGTCCAGATCAAAATCTTCAATTTCAGGCTAAAAAAAGTCGATGATCATGGCGGCATACCACTGAGAATTGACGGTAACAGTGGGTCCTTCATCGTTCTCGAAGAAGTATGGTTCGACGACGACGCCAGCCCACAATGCACACCAAACAGTCACTCTCTGAGGGTCCAATGGTCTCTCAGCGGTCACTTCTGGCTGCTCACTACCCGAGATTTGGAAATTTTGTCTATTAACATAGCAGCCGAGCGTGAAATGGGCCTCGTCACTGAAGAAGATTTTCTTCGAAAAATCAGAATCGGTGGCCTGTTGTTCCAGCACCCAATTGGTGTACTCACGGCGCAATCTATGGTCAGCCGGCTTGAATTCTTACGGGAGTTGGACTTTATATGGATGGCGATGCAAATCTAAATGCAAAATGCGCCACAATGTGCCGTATGACAGGCCCAAATGCTGAGCTCGACTTGGAGTCGAAAGATTCGAGCCATCGTTAACACTTTCATTCACAGCGGCTATGTTTTCGGTTGAACGGGTAAAACGATAATGCACAGGTCTTACGATGTCTGTTACCGATCCAGTCTATTGGAATTTCCTCACTGTGTTGGTGGTTGTTTGCTGGGATGGACGGTTATGTCAATCATAATCTCCGCGTAATGCGCGAAATGCAGCCACCGAAGATCCATCATTTTCGTAGCATAATTTTAAATTTTAACGCGTTGTTCGGTCATAAAACGTTCCATATTGTGAAATGGCAAACCTTTAACTAAACAAATATCAGTCTGGATAATAGTGACATTTGACAAATATCAATTAGCAGGGCTTTACTATCCCAAGCTCAAAATGGATAACCCGTTATATGTTGAAACTTCAGCAACTGATTCGATTAATTAAAAGCAAAAATTTACTGAATTGGTATACAAATATGTGAACTAGTGGTAAAAATACCAGAAAGCACTGTCATTGAAAACCCTAGGATGTCTATGCCATCTTTGTTTCAGATGAAATTGTATTTCAAAGAAAAATCTTCCATTTTGTTCCAAAAATGAATCATTTTCGATTTTTTTTTAAGTTTATACTTACCACAAAGTTGAGTTAATTGAAAATGACTCCAAAACTATGTTTCAAAACAAAAGCAGAAATGTTTTATTCCAAATACAATTTTAAATAAAATGTAATTATTGCTGTAAAAATTGCTAATTATATAAAAAATATGAAATACAAACCATAGAGGACGGAAATATTTAGCACTGTGTGTGGTAATTAAGAGCAAAACAAAAAAAAATTTTGATTAAGGATAAGGAACAACAAAACCAAATAATGTATATAAAACAATGGAAATGTTTCAAACATCCCAGTTTGAAGATTCTAATAATTTTAAGAAATTTGTGATATTGACTTTTTTTTTGTGTCCTAGAATTAATGGGATACAGAGCCACTGCTAATTTAGAACACAACTTGCCATAGTCTAAAAGTAGATATTAATGATAAGATGTATGGTGAATGGTGAAGTCACCATCTTTGTTTCAATTTTTGATTTGAAAATTGACAGAAACCGGTTTTTTTGGACAATAACCATGTTCAGTACACTACAGAGACACTGTAAAGCTCTAAAAATAAGTTCGTGATATTTCCGTTTTTAATGTTTCAGTCACTTCCATAGTAATGACTACTGTTTGACCACACTATTCCCATATGGCACACCAGAGGTAACTATAGCACATGGGAGTGTATTATTACTAAAAACTCTGGGGTGCGATTAGATAAATAGAATTTCATAAATTTAAATAATAATTTATCAGAACCATAATATTTCAATTTATAACAAACTAAGTCATGATTAAATAGTATCAAATGCTTCAGGTAAATTTAACAAAACTAGAGCACAGTCATGTCCATGGATAATATTGTCAGTAACGTTTACTAATATTACAGAAACTCAAAATCCCTTTCTAAATCCACATTGACAATTAAGCAAAATTTTATTGCTTTTACTATAACTGTACATTTCGACGCTTTAGTACAAAAACATGCTCTCAGATTTCGGTTGGAAAACATGCTATCTCAAATTTCAGTTGGAAAACATGCCAACTCAAATCTTTAGGTAAAAACATGCTATCTCAGTGTGACTAGAAATTTAAGTTGATTGATTAAAAGTAAGAGTAGTGATTATAAATCAGGTAAGAGTGCGCTATTAATTTTTATATCAAGGCAAACTTGTATGAAAAAAAATTTTTTGTAATAACAAACATTTTTATATATTAAGGTATACACTATTTTTTTATAATTTGTCATTTCAAAAAACGAGTAATTTACATGTTGCAGCATACTGCATATTCTATTTTTTTAATTAAGAATTTTGTTGTTTATAACAGTAACTTAACAAAATTAATTGAAAAATGTTGAATAAAAAAAATATAACAGTGTACCTGAACATAAACATTCCTTACTTTTTAAAAAATATATTATATGCATGGTTTCAATCATTCAATGTGCCAACTTAAATTTCTAGTCACACTGAGATAGCATGTTTTTACCTAAAGATCTGAGAGCATGTTTTCCAACCGAAATCTGAGATAGCATGTTTTCCAACTGAAATCTGAGATAGCATGTTTTCGTACTAAAGCGTCAATTTGACTATAAAAAATGTGTGAACCAGCAGGGAGAATAGTTCTAATCCTCGAATTTGAGTAAATTGAGGGAACGAAATTTTGATAATAGACCTATAAAAATTTTTGCACAAATCAGGAAAATATCCAATTTCGATGCAACTGTGGATATTATGCATAACATATTGATCAATAAAAGGACTGCAGTCTGATAACCCATCAACACCTTGGGAATTCTTTCTGCAAGGCAAGTATTTAAAAAATAGTTAACTTCATACACTGTTGTAAGTCGAGAATTGGAACTAATGGCATTGTTACATGTATTATTACAAAAATCTACTTTTGATCTGCAGTTAGAATTGTTTTGTTTAAATAAAAATAAATTTTTAAAATATCGGGATCTTGTCGATGTGATTGGAATATTGTTCGTTTTATTAGATAGATTTACAGTTATAAGTAAATGTAAATGTATCCAAACAGAAATTAACACAACCATAAATTGTTTCTAAGTATTTTTTATTGATTAAGAAAAACTTATTATGCTTTTCAAAAGCGAGATGTTTTTCGGTTCTCCAAAAACTACTATTGCGCTAGCCAGAAAGGGCTTGGCCACCTTTTTTATTTAAAAATTTTGAGGTAATATGAGTCTTTAGTTGAATGTGCCCTAATATTTAAGACAAAAAGTTAGAGGTTAACAGCAAATTGAGCAGACATGTGTTGCTTATGCCACTTCGCAAAAAATTTGCATTTGCTTGGATCGATTTTGTACTAGCATCGAATATATGTCAATAACCACATAAATGCATTGGTGCAAATAGGCCTTTCTGAGTTCTATTCATACCTGGATAGTTTATTCTTGTATTCTCACTTAAGTTGATATAGGTCTGTATGTTTGTAACTGATTTAATATAATTTTGTCATAATTATTTTCTCTTCTCTCTTACTTTTTCATATTCCAGCAGATCTTCATAAAAAATTATTGTCATAATTTGACAGGCATTATTTGAATGTGAAATTTCAACTACTAAAGAAAACAAGCAACCAAGAGATGGCACTGTTTCTGTTCAATTAATAGGGAAAACTTTTGAGTGTCGTAGATTTGATTTATATTTCATATTCTTTTTACTGTATTTTATAATGATCTGTTATTGTGTTTTGCATTATGACGACTGGCCTCAGGTATCTGCAACTCGTTCAAATATTTCCACATTTTACCTTTACCTTTACGCCTCTTACACACTGGCGTTGTTATACCGGTCGGTAAACGAGCGTCAGACTTGCTGGCAACGTTTTTGTGTGTAAAGATGTGTTTAACTATGTGTAATTTAAAATTTAGTCGGTTGTTTTGTCGGTCACTTTAAATGACAATCGGCAAATTACCGTCCACGTGTAAGAGGCGTTAGGAATCGTATTTCTTTGTAACTAGACATTATAGGTATCATATGAAGTTAAAAATATGAATGCTTGAGATATTCAGATTTCCTCTTTGCAATTCCTATCACAGGATATGAATCTTTTTCAGGAAAGTGGTGTTTGTAGTTGTAAAACAGGACTGTGTACTTTTGTAAATATGTCATCACTTGACATTAACATTATATTTACTTACTTAGTTTTTCAGTATTTAATTCAGTTTTCCATTTCTTTTAATTTTTTCCTCCTTGGGAAAGGTAAAGTAAAATGTACAAGTTTTGATAGATGTGTAATTGCCACATTCCGTTCCTAAACAAAATCTTTTTGACTTGTTTTTGCTCCCCATATTAAAAATAAACCATCATTTAATATACATTCCTTTTAATGAGATCAATGTAGGGAGGACATTGATCTCATGAATAGAACTTACAGTAATCAGTAATCAAAGTACAAAATGTTTGAACTACAAGCAATCGGTATCAGTCACTCAAAACTGTGAGTGTGCAGCTTCATTTTAATAAATATATCTTATTTTAGTTAAAGACTAACCCTAACAGTGAAAGAAAAAAAATACCTTGTGTGAAAAAATAGACTCTTGTTCCATCGCCTCTCACATAAAAATTCTCACCTAAACACCGACCAGGTTTAAACCTTAGTTGTGCAAGGTCGTATCGACCATAATCCCTAAACACTACTAAACCTCCAGGTTTTAAATATTTGAAGATTTGTGAAACGATACTTGAGAACCTGAAAAATTATGTAGATATAACATTTGGAGATATTTTGTCCGATAAACTTACTTTGTTGGGTTAATTGCAGATAAGACAAAAATTAATATAACTATATCAATACTATTTTCATCAAATGGCACATCCCATTTTTCTAGGGTAGCATCTAAAACAAAGGCATTACACCGCTCCTCATTGTATTCTTCTGAACTCTTCAATATATCAATTGCCTTTGACGAAAAATCCGATCCATAAACAAATACATTTTTATTTGTGGAATATCGTAAAATCGGGAAAACAGTATTACCCACTCCACATCCAATCTCAAAAATTGTTTGTGACTTGTCTTTATCCCCTGTTAATTCTGGAAATTCAGTAAACAACCAGTGTCGATCTTTAAAAAATCTATTAGTATGAATATCATAAAATGCATCCCAATATTTATCAGCCTCTTTTTCATATTTTTCTATAACGTCTGGAGTAAACTCAATTTCACTATTTGCTTGTACTTTATTTTGAGCCTCTTTTTCTTGGGTTTCATCCCATTTCACATCGTCCCTTAAAATTACATTTTAATTTCACACATGAACCAATGCTAAATTATTTGCAAGACACATACCAAGCATTAAAATCATAAACTTGTGATTTATCAATCAAATAACGAGACCCATATTTAGGTTTCTTTCTGTATGTAGTGCAATATTGAAAATTTAAAGAATATTTAAACAAAGCAATTGTTATTTGTTTTTTCATACCATACATTGTGTTCGAAAACATTATCTTCTTCGGATAAAAAACGGTTTCCAAATTGAGGTCTTTTATCCTGGCTAGACTCGCACATGTTTGAGGTTAGAAGTTAGAACTGAATTGTTTTGGTTTTTTTCGTACTTTCGAAAGGGAATTTTGCTACGTTTAAGTTTGCCACATTGCTTTTACTTTTCACATATTTTAACACAGATGACGCCACTAAAGCTTTTACATTTTCTATCCTTTCAATAAAGTCGTGGGATTGTTAAAGTATGAAATACAGATTATTTTAGTTATATATTGCCAACGTAAATACTCCAAGAGTATATTATATTATATTTTATTTTATATGGAATAAAAAAGTTTATTTTAAGAGAGCATTCGTGAAAATACTCTTAACTTTTCCCATCATTTTTATCAACATGGTCGGGATATGTTGTGTCTGGTGACGTCAGTGGAGTTGATACTAGGGGTATTTTCTGATTTATCATTCATAAAATTGTGTCGTATGCGGTACTTTATTCAGTGAAAGAAGTTTAGGTGTTTCTAATATTTTCATAGATTTATTGTTTTTATATGAATTTACATAGTCACAAAAACAGTACAAATCAAAAATAAAGACTGACCTGTCGTGTTTTGTGCGAAATTTACTTGTTTTTGGGCGTTTTGACATCTGTCAAATCGAGGAGGGCGTATTCATTGCCAAGGAATTTCGTTATTTATTGAACATTTTGCAACCACGGATAGAATTGATTATTTAAAGTGCCTTTTTGAACTAGTAGCGTGCATTGTTCCACACAATTTACAAAATTACTCAGCCAGTTTTTTTGAGGTACGTATAAGAAACGTCATTTTCTTCACTTACTCTTAAAATATAGAACAGGATAAAAAGATATTTTAAGAATTTGTGTACTCGGCTTATTGTAATGATTAAATGAAAGGAATGTCCTAGATGTAGTTGCATGTTTGAAAACTTGATTTAAATAGGAGTTGTGCCTTATATTGCACTTAATCAGTGTTTCTAACATATTTTACAGTTTTATATATTTTCTCATACCAACAATCAGTAAATAAAAACAATTAATGAAGGCAAAGTGGTATTGCATGTCCATCTTTAATTTTTACTTGATTTTTATTAAAACTTCACTAGTAATGTCCTCATGGCGTTGGTACTTTATTGATTTGAAATCCAATGCAACAAAACCATAGTGTTCCTAAATTCTGAAACTTTAAAAAATATACTCACACGACACAATTATGTAATTGTCAGATAAAACATGATGATTAATCATAAACAGTTTACACAAAGCATTAGCTATAATCAAATTTAATTTCCTTCTTTTTAATATTTTGAAACCTCGAAACTTGGTTGTAATTATTAAATCAGTTTTAGAATATAAACTTTAGATTGTGATAGGTAAAGTAATAAAATACTAGGTAGATATTTATATAATTTTAAGATTGTGATCATGTGAAAATAAATTAATATATAAAGTCAAAATATCTACCACTTACCACTTCCTATATTGCGCCGCACTTATGTACGTATTTGTAGTTGTTTCAGTTCCGATTTTTGAGAATTAACATCAATATCCATATTTTGTAGTTTGTTATATCCACATAACAAAATTTTCGAAGTAAATATCCTTTCAACACGTAACATTTTTATATTTTTTTTTCGCGAATTGTGGTGGGGGTTTGTGGGTTGTGGAGTGGTGTTTATTTATTAATAATATATCAATTTTACAGTCGATATGTTTGTGCATATTCACAGGTATAAAGAACTGACTGAAAAAAATCTGGATATAATAAATTTGGCATTCAACATGTCTTAGACACTTTTTCCAAAGCACCTGGTCACGCAACTTTGTATTATTTAAAATTGCAACATTCCAATTAATTTAGTAGTCGTGCATTCTGTAGCCGGTTTGAAGTTAGAGACCTTGAATGCATTTATTGGGATTACTCATTTGTTTCTCATATAGTTATATCACTGTCGAGTATCCACGTGGAAGAAACTCTCGGCATAATGGCAGAGACTGTATTCGCAAATTTTAAATAGAAAATCTAGGTGGACAGTTTTCACCGGAACGCACAGTATAACATATTATATTTCGCCCAGTAAAATATGTCATTTCCCGCTTTACTTCATTTTCCTCAAGAACTCACATTGAAGGAAATGGCGGATGATAACTCCTGAGGGCTCACCTATCTTTCTGTAACGTTCGACGGGTTTACGGGATTTTCTATAATGACACTAAGGTGACGTTCCTTAGGTATCTACCTCATATGTCACAGGATTTTGAGTATTATCCCTGCGAAAAAATATTTATTTTTCAAGCGGGTGTACCTAAGCAAATTTAGCTGTCGTCCAGGCGTTTCTAAAAAAATAAAGGTTGATAGTAATATGATACTTGTATGGTTTCCTTGTAAAATAATGTGCTGTGATATATAACATACGCGAAGATCGAGGCAAAGTGATATTTTTTATAGTTTTACACCTACTATTAAGACACTACTTATGTTAATAGTAGGATTGCCGCTTTCTAATCTTTATAGTACTTATTTACTACTAAGCTATTAAAAAATTTGCCTTCTTATGTTTAAAAAGCTAATATAATAATGCAAAAATTTAAAAAAATATTAGATCATTCAATCTGCTTAGCCTACAAGGTACCTAGTATATGATGTCATGTTCTGAAATGACTAAAACTTATTATAAATTTATAGTAGGTGTATTGTTGTCCTACGGGACTACTTGGTGTATATTTTAACATTGGCTAAAAAGCATTTTCCTTTCGAGATACATACGTTGTTTTTGCCTTCTGTGGTAAGAAGTAAAATTATTTTTTAATTAATTAGTATTTGATTTGCGAGTGTCAAAAGTGACATTTTTTTACATAATTCATTATTAATTTTCCACAACGTGTAGGTCTATTTGCTTTGCAATATTGCAGTTAACATTGCGTTAATTCAATAAGTTCTGGGCAACTTATAACTTTTCGATGTAGCATACAGTATATTAGTAAAACTGAGATCGCTTCTTTAGCAGACTCTGCACAAAATTGATTTGATATCGCAATTTTGTTTTCAATTGATCCTTGTACATAAGATTCTGTCATCGTGGATGAGCCACCGTGCGTCTTCAACCCTAAAACACATCTTACTGCAGCTATAAGCATGGTTGCAGGTGACCCTCTAAAACGTAATCGGTATACTCCTGTGGATTGGGTAATCAAAATATGTAACATATTTTTCGGGCTCTTATGCCGTGGACCGAGGAACCTTTGACCTGCCTTTGATGTTCTCGGGCTAGCCTTTGTCAGGGCGGATCTAACATTCACCTTTATTATTGATTGATTGTTATCAAAACATTGTCCATAGCTTTAGCTGACAAATAGTTGATCATATGTTGTTGCTAGTGATCTAAGAGTGGAATATTATTCAACCATATTTTTGAGGTCTTTCCTTTCGTCGTCAATAAGGTTTATTGGTTTTTGTTACTGTAATTTTTACTATTTACATACCACCAATATCTTCCTCATCACCAACGTTTATTTTGTGATACTCGTCTTGTTTTGCACTCGGTTTTGCATGTATAGGGAATGCTAATAATTGCTGCACCTTGATATTAGAAAATATCTACTATTAATTATTCCACTCAAAGGAATTTCTCGAATTATTACATCAAAATTGCCATTAAATTCATTAAATACATATTATTAGTGCTTCGTTGAAGAATTCTACTTACATATTTTATTTTTTCTGAACTTTTAATTTCTCGTATGTATCCTACAGATTCACCTGTCAATTATAACAGCCTACTAACGATTGTTTAAAATTTTTAATAATAAAGAAGACTTCATACATTTGCGAAAAAAATTTTGCTTTTCATTTACATCAGCACAGTATGCGCAATTCCCAGATTCTCAACTTTATAATGTATCGGTTTAGTTATGACTCTCGGATAATATTAGCTGTCAAAATGACATTTAAGTACGAAAGGGCAATATAGTTCTACAAAATTTACGAAAGACTAACTATTTCGTTCTTGTTTCTAACCAAACTGTTCGTTCAATAAAGAATTACTTTTTATACGTGTATCGTGTATCTCACAGCATTTTCAACATTACATTTTTGCACTAACAATAAGTGCAAAAGTGCAAATAAATCAGAACCGCTGTTAAATAACTACTATTGTGCCTGATGATTGTCGGAAACAAAATACCACGATATAACTAATAGCTAACAGCTGTCGTCATTACTTTAGAAATTATTTGTATTGAAGTCGTTTGTTTTTGATAGAGTAAAAGTAAATTTAATAGGATATTAAAAGTGCCATTTCTTGAAACTAAAGAATGATACAGCACTGTTAATCCATGGAGTGCAAAAAATAACTATGCTTTAGCACTTAATCCCTGATAATTAGAAATATTTCATTTATACTCCTGTGCAACGATTTATACAGCAAAAAGAGTTCCTTGTATATATCCTACGACTGTAATGAAATATTTATTTAATAATGTAAGAAACTTGAGTACCCAGTGGTTATACTACTATAATACATACTACATCTATTTCTATTTCTCTGTTTACTGTTTTTATTCCGTTGTAAACTGTTTTTGGCACTTGCTTGTGTCGTTGAGTAAAATGAGAACGCTAGGTCTATTTTTAGCTGCATTAAAAAATGCAGCACAGCAAATACTCTATCCTTATAGACTGTAATTTATAATAAAACGATGATGTAACCGTTCATAATAATTGGTAGATAGCGTAATTTTCGGCAAAATTTTCAGCAGTTATTTTTTATACAATTTTATTTAGAAGAGTGCAGAAAACTAAGATCTATTACACATGTAGTTTTTTATTGCCAGAAATATACGTATTAACAATTGTTTAATGCAGTAAAAGATTTGCAAAATGAAACACATTTACGAGCACATTTATTACTTAAACTGTTACTGTTTAAAACATTATTTTTAGTAATAAATGTACTTCCAAACTTTCTACAATCTAGTTTGTTATTTTCTTTTGATAATACAACCCTATATATGTACTGTGTTGTTTTATCGTTTAAATTTTCCTTTTTTTATGTTTCTAGCTTTAAATGTTTAAGA